ATGTTACAGATCAAGCTTGCTATTGAACAGCCACCTTTCATTAAGAAATAATCACTGCCTTTGCCTAAATAGAATGGGAGGGTGAGATAGTGTGATGGTAATGAATGATGTGATGAGATTCTAAAACAGTTTTCCTGCACTATTTCTTTGCATCCAGGATATATCTGGCAGGCAATCCTGGGTGTCATTCTGCTGATGAAGCTACACTTGTTTCTAAATATCACTTGGAAGCTGATTAATATATGAACATGGCTCTTCTATACAGGCCAACTCAGAAGTCCCATTGAGCTCAATGGGCCTTACTTCCAGATAAGTAATTGATGCAGGATTGCAGGTTTAATCACTTTTCTAGCCTAGGCTTTTGATTATGACCTGTCAAATCTAGCAGCCTATTAATCTTGGTGTGGTATTTTTTATGTTGCTCTCATGTGCTTATAATTCTAATGAACACATGTATTCTTCCATGCTTTACGTAACCTATTATGGTTAAGTTATTTATTGTCATTACATTACAGGCACAATCTATATGTGAAATACATTGGCTAGGGGTTACCCAAGCTGGAGTCTTTCAGATGAGTGGACTACACTCCAGGACATATATGGAAGGCAGCAGCTCAGCAAACTTTGCAGGACTGGGCCAAACATAAGAAGTCCACAGATCCTAGAGAGACTAGTTGCAAAAGGGAGGCCTATGACATGAGAGGCAGCGATTCCCCTGTGGGTTCCTGCTAATCTACCTGTTCCAGAAAGGTTCCTGCACCTGTGCAATTTCCATGGCAGACACCTATGGCACAGGCAGTGGCATTCCTAGCATGGAGATAGACATGTGACTGGGTACACCTGGTGCTAGCTGTCTGCCACAAAGGTGCTCGCGGGGGGGCAGGGGCAGCTCAAACATTCCAGTCCGCTCAGATAGATTCAACCAGTCCTGTGGAGGATCCAGAAAAACTACTCAGACATAGTGCGAGAAACACCCATTCTTGGAAAAGGAGGGGGACACTTCAGAGCTGGATGGGAGAAGACTGAGTGGGAGGCCCTTGGCCTTGTCAGAAGACAGGCAATGTGGGGGGACCAGTTAAGGAGAGTCTGGTGTTCTTGCTGCCCAGCCCTCAAGCAGCAAGAGGCACCCTCAGGGTAGAAACAAGACTTTTCTGAAATGGAGGGGGGGCCGGGGGAAGAGAGAATGTTTCATTTTAGATTCAGTACTTCACATGGGCAGATACTTTCCCCACTTCTCAAAAAGGCTGCTACTCTGGTTTATACTGTTTTGTAACCTGTTCAGCTGTAACGGAATGACAGTGTTTCTAAAGCCTTGTCTATGTCTGCAAGAGAGGAAAAGAGGGAGGGAGAAACCTGCTCAAAACAGGTACCTGTTCCAGCTGCAATCTCATTTGTGTGCCCTTTTTCTTCCCAGGATTTCCCCTGTCCCTGAAGCTGCTCAGTTAAAGACATAACTCTGTGTCACATGTGCTTTTTTGTTGGTGGCGTAGAGCTGAGGGTAGAGATGCACTGCAGCTCCACAGAATCCACCTCTCCAGCATTTGTGGACTTCCTCCTGTGCTTGGCCCTGTCTTGGAAAGCAAGCCGAGCTGAGAGAAAATCCATGAATGCTTGCAGAATGAGGCTTGTGCAAGCAGAATCTTTCTTCCATTTCATGTCCAGCTGCACAAAGGCCACTGCAAGTGGTAGCAAGAGGATGCTGCCTGCACAGCCCACATGTGGGGTTCAATTCCTGGCAAGCTCTTGTGAATGCTGGGGGTGTCTGTCAGAAACTCAGACTCATGGCTGCGTCAAAATGAACCACAGTCGGGGGATCCAAGCCAGGGGAATCCTTTGGATTCCCAGCCCCAAAATGAATTCCTCACACATCCCTGGTGGACAAAGAGTCACACCTTGGGTCACACCTTGGCGGTCCACTGTGACTCCAGTTGGCCTTGAGGCAAATTGGACAAGGGCTCGCAATCCACACAGAACGGCCGATGGCCCATCAGACCACAAAGATGGGATAGGATTACACACTTTCTCTCAAGGGGTAGACTTGCAGTGATATTTGATGGCAAGGTTGCATCAAGGGGGTTAAGCCCTTTTCAGCAGTTTAGCCTGGTGTGCTAACTGCAAACCCTGGTTATAGCCAAGGAGCACCCAACCTTAGCTTTCATTGTATGGGGACTGCCTTTGATGGTCTCTTCAATAGATCAGCAGCTTTGCCTCAAAGGTAGATCACATCTCGGATTACATATCAGGAATTTCAGAAAAGCAACACTAGTTCCCCATATGTCTCATATTAACCTATAAATTCCTATGTGGCTTGGCGCAGGGTATCTCCAGTACTATCTGCTCTCATATAAACCTGCCTATGCTTAAGCGCTAAATTATTTTCATTGGGTTTTATAGTACAACAAAATAATAGTGGTGATTTGATGAATGAGAAAGCATGAATTCATGAATAATATTTCCCTAAAACTATGAATAATAAGTAGTTATCTGTAGTCTGGGGTATGCATTAGGAAGTAATAATGTCTCACTTAATTCTTGTATTCATGGATGCAACTATTGTCCCATTTATACAATTCATATTAAATAAAATGTTGAACAGAAGGCTTTGAGGTCAGAATCACAGGTATTTATAAAAATGGATATTACTTTAGAATAATATTTTAATCAATAGATGTGACAGGCTGCTTGGATTTCTTGTATAGTGTTAATGCTCAGAGTTTAATGTTTGCCTAGATCTACCATAATATCAGTTCTGCATTATATTCAGTGGAGTTGCCCCAGAGATTAATGTGGATCAATGCTGGATTTTATTTCTTTATATGAGGCTTGGTAGAGAAACATAGTATAAGAGTGCACAGTCTCTCTGAAAGAAATATGTGTGGTCTATAAATCCGCAATAGTATGCTCACAGTAAAAGAGTATGGTGACCATCAAATCCTAATAACTTCCATTGCCTCCCAAGAGTATAAGCTTCTTTTTAGAAATGAACATTTATTGATTGTATAAATTCAGATTTAAAGAAAACGCTAAAAAAAAAATCATTGTCCCACAAGACTGAGAAATGTGGTCTGTAAGATGGACAGTTGCAGAGAACCTCCTTTTCACAACAGACCAGACTTTCTTTCCAGTAATGCCTGGTGCCATGCATTGGATGCACATAAGCCTCTGAGTATGTTGACTTAAGTGCATCTGCCTAGGAGTGCATTGGATTGTATCCCTTCTGCTTTGTGCCGAGATACAACACTTTGCACACAAAGTCTTGTATCTGTGATATAAGATTGTAGCACATCATGGCTTGTTTTGTGTGTGCACGATGGATTTTCAATGCTCACAATTGCATGTGTGCATCAGTAAGGTATTGCACGAAAAGAATCTGAATACCACCTTGCCTACAATCTTTTCTCAATGTCTTTTTTCCTTTTCTTTTTTGTGTGCATATGTATTTTATCAGTGCATACATGCACATCGGCAACGAAGAGTAGGAAGTGGGGGAGATACTACAGAATGGAAGGAACAGAAAGCACAAGCAAACTGAGCATGATAAGACTCTGTACAAAGTCCGTGATGAAAAGGAAATCAGAACAAAATGTACCTAATATATCAATTCTACTCCAGAAATAAGATTAGTTTAATTCAGGTCACAATATAATTTACTTGAGATTAGCTGCCTTGAGTTGTTCTAGATGTTTTAATTTTTTTTTTTTTTTGTATTTTGGAAATTTTATGGCATTTTATTGTAGTGTTTTAATATTTTTTGTTTTTTTTTAAATATTTTCTTATTTTAATTTTCTTAACATATACAATATATTTTTTTGTAAACCACAGAGTACTTTAGCTATTGGGTGGTAAAGAAATGAGAAGAAGAGGAGAAGGAAGAAGAGTGCCATTGTATTGGTAGAATGGTGGGGTACAAATCAAATAGAATAAAATAAAGAACTCAATAAACCTTATTTCTAAGCAGACATGTACAGGTTCACTGTCAGATCTCCAAGAACAGCTTTAATAAAGATAATTTCTATAGTATCTCTATACTGGACATATGGAATAAATTGGGATGACCTGAGCATGTGGGATTTAGTACAAAATTCACAATTTGGGGAAGGGAGGCTGGTGACTCCTTCAACAGTGAGTTCCTTATCCATTGCAGTTTTTATTTTGAGGTTTATAGGAGCTTTCCAGGGCACTGAAGCTGATTTGGGGGTGGGGGGGGGGGATTTCACTGCTGCAGAAAGCTCCATAAAGCCCAAGACAAAAGCTGCCACAGAGAAGGAGCTTCCCTGACGCAGGATTCTGCTGCCTCCCCAGACCTTGTGGAAATCATATTGGTAAGCCTTCTCTTGCACAAGCCACAAATAGTGCAAGGCTGGTGTCATGTACACATCCCACAAAAAACAATCGCAACAAAGATGCATCTAAAAGTATTCAAGCACATTGTAAAGGAATATATTTGGGCAGTGATGGAATTGTCCAGTAGGTGGCTGGCATTCTCCAAAAACCAGGCAGCACTATCCAACAACTACTGTACTTGCTACATTGAGTGAAGCAGGGAGACCGATGACGTTCCAAAGATCCTGCCTCTAGAATGTGCTTAAAAGAGCTGTTCCTTACCTTCACTGTAAAGGCAGCCTGTGACTGCAGGGTCTGAAAAGCGAGGGAAGAGCAGCAACTGCCAATAGTTCTCAAAAATATGATTTGCTTTTTTCATCATCAGGCTCTGGATGGTTTTGTATAGGCTTCTTTTATCAGCCTTTTCTCTCAGTCTTTGCAAAATGGAAAATACTTATCCACAGGCCCAAGAAACTGGAGGAAGACCAAGGTTTTGGAACTAAAACCATGTTGTGGTCTCAAGGTTTGAATGGACTGTGCTTTTTATGTGTGTGGTTCCTTTATGGTAGATCACAGCACATATTTCACTTCTGTCAATAACCACGAAGGAAGAACGGAATCAACTCAAACATTGGTGTGGTATTGTGCACATTTTGACAACCAAGCATCCATTTTCTTATTGAATCCTGACTATGGCTTCTGAAGAGTGCATTTTGCTTGATGTGAAACTTAATGACATTATTCTTTGCAACACCTCTGCTGTTCAAAGTGCAAATCTCTCTTTCCTGAGTGAAGACTTCTTTTACTATAGGTTCCTATATGCAATTCCAACTATTTATGGGATCATCATTTTAATAGGACTCATCGGCAATGTTACACTGATCAAAATCTTCTGTACAGTGAAGTCCATGAGAAATGTCCCCAACTTGTTTATTTCCAGTTTGGCTTTCGGAGACTTGCTTCTTTTGGTCACCTGTGTTCCTGTGGATGCCAGCAGGTACCTATCTCCAGAATGGCTCTTTGGTCGGGTTGGATGTAAACTTATCCCATTTATACAGCTCACTTCAGTGGGGGTGTCTGTCTTCACACTCATGGCTCTTTCTGCAGACAGGTAAGCGTCTTTCTGCAACTCTTGTTGAGGTTTGTTATAAATCCAAGGCCTTTTAATGGATCAAGCTTGTGTTTGGAATATGCTTGAAGATCCTTCTAAAAAAAGGAATTATATCAGGCAAGTTTACAGTAAAGTACCAAAAGAGTCACAATAAGTCACTTAAATCAGCACCTGAAGGGAAAATCATAAGAGACAATGGCAAAACTGTTGCTATACCCTTCAACTGTAGTGGTTTTCAAGGGTTTTTATTTATGTGCAATTCTAGCCATGCTTATTCAGAAGCAAGTTTCATTGAGACTGATGGTGTAACTGTGTTTAGGAATGCAGCCTTAAGTTGCTTTTAATCCATCCTTTCTCTTTAATCCAGTGAAAATCACATTTAACAATAAGCTTGACTTTTAGGAATTAAGATGAGTCAGAAAACTGGGGTTTTCATTATTAATCTATATCATTACACTAGCTTTAGGCTATGATCCCATGAGCACTTACTCACAAGTATGATTCTGTTAGAGATGTGACATTTCCTTCCAGATAAACTTATTCAGAACCTTCAATACTCAATGGGTTTTCAAATGTTCTTTGCCTATTCTGTTGTAATGAATTGAAGCTGCAAAAGATTAGCTTTGTATAGTTGAATTCAGTTGTGTTGTTCAATAGTTATATTCAGTTACTGTTCTGAAAATTTTAGTTATCTGGTATGAAGCAAGTTCAGAGGAAACTGCAATTGGTATTTGCATATTCCCAAACCCTACTTGTTTAAATATTCAGAACAAATAGTTTACAACAAATAGGAGCAAGCATTATATGACAATCTTCTTTCTTAATTTTCTGTATTATGCTGTATGTACTAGAGGTTTCTAACATATATGTGGTGGTGGAAGTAAGAAAGCAGTTGAACAAACTTTACAGGTTTGCATGGAGCACAATGCTACAGTCAACAAGATCTAGATAAGAAAGAAGAGTCCAATCGAATGAACAGAAATTATCTCTGTTAACAAGTTCAGTGGCCATCTGTATAGGGAGGAAAATGACTTCCTTATCAGTGTAAATTAGGCAAGGGTTTTATTTTGGTTTTGGCTTCTTTTTATATAGCTGGGCTCTTTGCTTGACAAAGCTAGTTAGGTACAATAAAGTAATAAACTATAATAATCAAAGCTATTTCTCTTCAAAGCTATATTTTCAAAAACATGGTATCTTTTTCATCAGCACACCAATCAGCCCCGTGCACTCAAAACCATAGTACAGAATTAGGGGACCAGAAAATGTGATTGTTACTTATACTGTATCCCATGCTTGTATAAGGGCAAACTGCAAGATGTGTCTCTGTTTTGCTTTGTTTTCTGAGGTATGTATAGACATGTAGCTATACTGAATTTAGGAAACCTAGCCACACAGTCCAGTTATAGGTATTTCCCAAAAAATTTTGATGTTGCTCTTTAGCCTCAAATGTATTACATTTGATTATCAGACTCTTTTGATGATCAATAAGCACTTTGATTGCATGCATGGAGAATAGAATTCACTCAAAATGTGTTAGAACTCATATCACGAACATAGGGAAGTAATTGTGATACTGGGTCACAAAGAGGTCTACTTTGCTTACCAGTAGCCAGACAGATGATCCAGGGAGGTTTAGAAGCAAAGCAGTATCATAACTCCTCTTGCTTAATCCCAGTATCTTGTAGTTAGACATTTGTTCTCTTAAGGTAGAGGCTACACCTGTGGCTATTATGGCTAAAAGCCAGAAGCCTAGCAGACTATTCCTCACCTGGTTGTAACAGGGCCATTCTACACCTTATGTAATATGGGAAGAGATGGGGGTCTTCAGAGAGAAGGTGGCATATGTATCCCCGCATGCAGTAAGCTAGCACTTCAGAGACACTTGGCTATGCTATTTCCCAAGAGGAAAGAGATTCATTCTAGAGTAAAGATATGAGAGGGGGACATGTATGTAAAACTAATCAAATTACAGAGCAAAAGCATACGGAAACTTTCTGTTTCTATCATCAGGCCACAAAAGGGAAAAGTTATATAAAGATCATGAGCAGGTCCCTTCCCTCTTTCCCTTTCCAGCAGAACCAAATGAAACTGTAGAAATGCAGCTCTTTTATTACAACTTGCTGCAGAACAGTCTAAATCAGAATAGAATTTTTGGAAGCTTGCCCTCCTTCCCTCCCTTTCTGAAAAGATTCTGACTGCACCCTCAGGGTGTCTCTTGCTGCTTGTACCTGGGCAGTGGGGACAGGAGAGACTTTGGTCTGCTCATTTCACCTGCCATTGCCTGACTAGGCTGCCCTTTCTGTGCCTGCTCTCCCTCCCACCCTGAAACACCTCCCCCATTTCCAAGGCAGGCAGATTTTCATGCTCTGCCAGAGAATCTTTACTAGGTACTAGTAGGCTAGGTACTAACCTTGAAATGGCCATGCCTGCTGCCCCTCCCACCCTGCTCCTTCACCTCCACCTCCACCTCAGAATCAGACAAACCTATCTGAGCAGACTGTAAAGTGTGAGAGTTGGGCCCCCTCTCTACAACGAGAGAGGAAAACCCGTCTTCGGGAGCAAGCAGAGAGGCTGTACTGATAGAGCAGGACGTCCTTCTCGAAAAGCCACCCTCCACGAGTTCGGAGGGATGAGAGAGATGACAGAGAGAATCGCTGCTCACGTGCTCCCTCTCCTCTAATGATTTCTTTTCAGGGAATCAGAACACCTGAATGGGGCTTATGTGGATCTTCTCTTTCAGGAATTGCCGGGAATACGTGTGCGCACACATGTGCCTACACACCTGCCTGCTCAGCCCTGAAGGCAGCATGGGAGGACTATGGTGCAGTCCTATGCATGCTTGGTCCAAAGATGTTCTCTGGTTCCCAGCATGCTGGGACTTGTAGGCCTTTTTTTCCCCTCCCCCTCCTTTTTTCCCCCTTTGGTGTAAGCATGGATGGGATTGTATCTTTGGTCTAAATGCTCTGCAAACAGTAAGCAAATAACAGCTTGCATTCCAAAATAAGGAAGCAATCTTGTTATCTCATGGTTTGCAAAACTGTAATACAGCTTTGTAAAAATGTAGCATAGTGACACTTAAAGTGAAAGATAGAAAGATTTTTATCTATCTCACTGCAAATATCAAAACAAAACATTGCCACAAAAATCCCTGCCTCTCCTCACCCCTTCACCCCACAGTCTTAAGGATCTTAATCTGCAGATACATCGAACAGTAGTCCTAATACCTGTTTTTAAGTCCATGCTGTGACAAGTGGAAAATAGGATATGATGCTGTCAAGGTCCCAATTTTTATGCTGGGCTATATGTCAAGTGCTCCATGAAGGAATGCCATTCATTCCCACTGAAAGGGGCAGTCGCCTGTTGAGCCTGGTTGGCCTCAAACTCCCCATTTCCATTGATGGATCAGTCTTGTTAGAGATGTAACAGGAACAGTACTTTTTATGGCCTGCACTGCCCCACCTTCCATCTGGCAGTTGAATAAAGGAATTTTCCCTTGTACAGGCACCTTACTGTGCGTTCAAAGAATGGTCCAAAAGGACAGCACATTCACAAAAACCATTTTTATGCCCAAAAAGTCCTGGTAGAGTTGAGGCAAATGTATATAGGGTGAACCCCATCCAAAATCAAGCTTTTCAGCACAGGGAAGAAATGAGTGAATCATAGAAATCAATTCAGTGACATTAATGTGAGTAAGCTTTAATTGACCTTTGGAGCAAAAGAGGCTAACAAACTCTGCAGGCATAATTAAACACATGTTTTGGCTCTGAATCCACTGCTGGTTCATGTCTGTGGACAGAAATGTTATATAAATGCACAGTTACTGTATTTGCATGTGCTGAACATTACCTTGTTCACAAAACACAAAAGGACTTGCAAAAATGCAGAGCTCAAGAGAGCTGACATGTCCCGGGCACAGAGAGTTAGAATACTGGTAGCTATTCAATATTCCTTACTCCAGGTCTCCCAATATTTGATTAATGGTGCCTGTAAGTATTGGCCATAACTGGAGTACTCTATTAAATGCCTTAGATGCATAACTCATTCAAAGCATCTATAACTGAGTGCTACTGGATGAAGGATACAGGGCTGGATGAGATTTAGGACCATACAACAAAGCATTTCTTGCAAATACATGCATGCATTTATTCTCAGTGTTTCTGAATCATGCCTCTGCTCAACTGCTTGGTTCACATATAACACTGAAATAAACCATGGGTTATTTAATTCTGTGTTACTGCAAATCTGGTTGTGAACCCAGTTGCCCCAATAAACCATGACTGTTAACCACAAACAATCCAGAAAGGGAACCCATAGTGTATTGTTAGCTTGTGAACTTTGAGCTGCTAAAAGCTTAGGTTGTTGTTAGCTGTGAACCTAATGCTTTTTGCCAGGCCAAAGAAGTGGTGAAAAGGAATAGTTTTAGCTTTTGTTTTTTAAAAGGAAAAGTAACCTTATACTTGTCACTAGGCTACTCTACAAACTGATACTAAACATCTCAAGGGCATTTGAAGTACAGGGAAGGAAGAGGTAAAGGTAGAGGAAAAGAGACAGCCTAAGGATTAAGAAGGAAAACACTTTGTTTGAATGTCTGCCAAACAAGTACAAATAAAACAACGTCAAAATTGATATAACTCATAACTATAAACCAGAAAAACCTTCTGAAATCAGCCGCTTCAGAGAGTAAAGTCTTGGCAGAACAATAGAAGGTTTTCCCTAAACCAGTTCTAGAAATCTTAGCTTTAGGGTGACCATATATCCTTTTTTTCCCCTCCTACTCCTTTGCCTTCTCCTTCTCCTTCTACAGAGGACAGTCCTCTGCTTGAAGGGCTGCCAGAGGAATGTCATTTATTTGAAGGCATCTCTGCTTGGAAGGCAGCATTCTTCCGTTCTAGTTTAACAATAAAGAACTAAGAGAGCAAGTGCCCATCAACAATTAGCACCCAGGGAGTATGATGAAGCTGCAGGCACACTGAACATATGACAAGATCCATTATATTTGT